TGCGAACCGTTGAACTATCATTCGCATCCTCCCGGCATCAGATTGAGTCGCAACCTCAGCTGCCAGGCGATCGACCTTGTCCTTCGTCCGTTGACTCTCGTCGCTCCATTCCCTTCGCATGGAACTCACCTGACCGTTCAGTACCCTGATTTGGTCAGCAAAGATGTGGAACGCCTTCGCGACTGAGCCAGAAACCTCACCTCTCTCGAGCATCTCCTGGATGTGCAAATCGAACACCTCCTTCGCCCTAGCGTCACCTGATTCGCCGGAAGACTGGGATCTGAGGGCGGGAGGAGTCGATATCTCGATCCTCTCAGGAGCCCCACTAGCCCCGGCATGTCTTCTGGGGTCATCCACGGGACAATCATCAATCCTGGATGGTCTACTCGGGGTAGATCCCCTTCTCCGGCTATCGCCAGATCGAGGATCAATGTTGGATGCACGTGACTCGGGGGTGGAGTGAATGTGAACATCAGCGGGATCGGGCATCTCCTCATCCTGCGGAGTTGAATCCATTGGTGAGGGGCTAGCCCTCCTCGCCTTTGACCTATCGGTCTCAGCGGCGAGAGGTGACGGTCTTTTCGCAGAAACACTACGTTCCCTGGCAGTCGAACCCCATTGAGGTGTGAACTCGTTGCTAGACCTCAGAGTTTCAAGATCACTGGTATCTCGCCCTAACGGGCTAGCGATCGACGGACGATCTTCGATCCCGAGTGCATCGGCAAGCCGACCATCTCTGGCACCTGTCCTAACGACATCGGCAGCCCGCTCAGTGATCCTCGGCGAACCAGTAACCCGGTTCGAGTTCACGTCTCTCTGATTCAACGGACCTCCAAAGGTGATGTTGGGAAAAGGGGGAACATTCGGGGTATCACCAATCGCCGGGGGACCTACCGGTCCCTCACGGTCATGGATGGCCTCCAATCCCCGAAGAACTTCCCGACTGTCCCTGGCTCTCTCTCTCTCGCTTCGGGCATCCCTGTCAACGCGAAGGTCCCTGGCGGCTCCACGAGAGAGGCTCCTGGGCCTCGCAGCATCACGGATCCTAGCATTTCGTCGTGGTTGGTCCTCCTCCTCATCACGGCGATCCGCAAATGCGGCATACTCGTCATCATCATCGACCTCAAACTTGGCAGCGGCGGGACTAGTCCTTGCAGTCGCACGGCTGCCTGCATTCGGCGCGAATGGCTCTCCTCCTCATCCGCAAAATTGTAACCTTCGCCATCATAAGACTCAGATTTGGCAGTATTAGGGTTGGGCCTACCGGCATCAGATCCCTGCTTTGAGCTACTGCCCCAACCTGCGGTTGATTTCAACAGATCATCGTATCCGAAGTCCGTGAATTTCCGCTCCTCGTGCTCATCAAACTGACCTGGATTTTGAGAACCAATGGATCGGCCCGGGATACCTCCCGGAGCCAGAACCATAGTCCCTGGTCCCTGCGGCCTATTCTCAAACTCATCCGAGACCTGCGACTCACCTGGAACAAGAGATCTCGGAGGTCGAATCGGCATGGCCTCCGGGTCATCCGAATGAGGGCGGGCCATGTCCATCGCCATGCTGATGAAGTCAAAACGTCCACGCCTGTGACCTGATTCAGAGCCACTCCTATCGGAGTAAACCCTTCGTGTCTGCTCGTCATCAGTGGCCTGGCGGAAAATACGATCGTCTCCATCGTCGGCGTACCTGCCACGGCTCCTGGGTGTATCCCTACCGGGATCTTCACCCCTGCGGTCCTGACCTGTCGAACCTGCTTCGAAATCCTCGTAGTCATAGTCCGGTAGGTCCTCACCTGAGCGGAGGCCACCTAGGATGGCCTCCTCATCCACGACGCTCCTTCGAGATCGTGGGGTCGACATAGAGCTTGTAGTTGATGGTCTCAAGCGCGTAGGAAAGTCCTACGGCTGATAACCTGTGATTCGGGCACGAGCCTGTGCCCAGGCAATGGGTAAGTTGGGGTAAACAAGCCACAAAAGAAAGGTTCCCCAAAAGCAAACCAATCCCCGGTCCCAAAGATCAGGGTTTCCCACACACCAGAGAACAACAACCAAAAGGGAACAAACCAAACAAGAAAAGGGTTAACCCGCAACCTTGGTCGACAACAGGCCGCACGACTGGTCCCTACCAACCTGGCGGCGGCCCGAGGTCTCTTTCTCCCCCGAGATGCCGTCGGTCGACGCAGGGGTTCGGCGACGCCCATTCGAGGCGCGACGGAACCCAAAACTTGAGCCAAACACCACAGGTCAGTCACTACCGCGACATCCCTGGTGATGAAATAAACCATGGCTAATCACACTATGTCACAAAAGTAGACCTTACACAACGGGATCATGCTCTTGTCCTTGTCACTGGTTGCCAAATGACCCAACAGGGGCCATGCTCGGACGTGAGATTCTGGATCAGTTGACCTGGCGAGGTATGGCTTGCTGCACAGGACACGAGCCTAAAATGGCTGATTGCAAACAACAGTTCTCTACTCCCATGAAAATCATATGTGGCGTGCCCGCCTTTTGGGAAACCTTGCTTTTGGGGTTCCATGGTCCAGGTCATCTGTTGCTGGAAAATAGTAAGTGGATCTCAAATTCAGGCGGTCCTCCTTTTTGAAGACCCACGTGGAACCAACAATTAAGAGTCCAAGCTTTTGACATTCCAGCAGGCAAGTGAAACACCTTGTTTCGTGGATTCGATGCATTCTCCTGTTGGGGTATCCTCCCACAGACACAGCTCATAGCGCAGGCCTTTGCGGACAGTGGCCTTTCAAAGATGCCTCTGCGCTCGAAAAACCTGCAAGGATCAACTAGAACAAAGAGCAAAACGACATCATTGGATACGTTGCGTGACTGCGTGACCAGGACCAACAAGATCGGCTTTGCACAACTGACTGGGGGGTCCTCCCAACTTTCAGAAACTCCCAAGTGATCAAAAGAAAGATAAGCCCGGAACTTGCCCGAAACCACGACTCTGGCACTCCATGTAAGTGCTGAGGCGGCTCAGCAAAATGACAAGCAGAATCAGCAACTACAGCATGAAGAAATCGAGTGACACGTGCGTCCATCTTTGAATCTTTCTGGAGACTACTCTGTCGGGGTGTTTCAAGAAAACTAGCGGGAAAGCACGAGATAATTTGGTTTTGGGGTCCCACGTTTTGAGACAAAGCCAGGCAGCCAGATAGTTGCCCAAGTGTGTTCACAATTTTGGGCTCAAGGGCAACATCCCGCACGAACCTATGACTTTGACCCCTTCAATCGGTCAGCTCAAACAAGCCTAAGCCGGATTCAAAGTAAAATAGTCGCATCCGGCGGCTTTTGCCATGTCTTTGTTGGATATCCCGGTGTGCTTTAATTGCATCTCAAAAAAGTGTCTCTTTCGCTTCTCCAAGTTGCTTTGAGCTCACTGCCCAAAAGACCTGGAAATAAAAGAATCAGTTGTTGGGACCTTCACCAAATATGGACCATAGGAACACCAAAAGGTCCAAAGGTCGATTCGCTTCAAACAAATCTCGGTTGCTTTCTGCTCCCCTGCTAAGAGTGACTCACTGTTAGTGGTTTAATACGGAAAACCCACTTGGCAAGAAGTTGTTCAGTCCTAACATCCCTAGGCAAAATGCACCAAAGAAAACCAGAACCGGCCAAACCAACACCAAAGAAATGAGAAGACTGTCCTGAGCTGAACTCCACTCGAGCCCCCCACGCCGACCCGAGACCCGAGGTCCGTCCTCCAAGAACCTGGTGCCAGCGTTGCCCACCACCGTGGCCCAGCCTCGGAGATGTCTGACAGACCCAACCCCAAAGAAATATCTAGGCGAATATTACCCCAAACAACCCAACCCCAGAGTTGCTTTCGAACCACCATCTCACAACAAGGATCCTCCGTTGTGTGTTGCCTTTCCAGATGTTGAGTATCCAGGGTAAATATCTAGGTGAATCGTAATATTTCACCAATCTGGTGGTGGGGGGATATTCCCAACATAAACCACCATTTGGGGTGAGGTCGTGTGAGGTCGCTAGAATTCACCCAGAAATATGACAAGCCATATTTGGGGGCTTGTTTCCCCCGAATTGACCCGCACTTGTTGGCTCCGAGTATCCAGGAGTATGTTCCATCTGGTACAACCTTAAAAGAAAAACTTGCCTATGAAACCCAGGGTGAAACTGGGTGAGTTGCATGTGGAGACAAGTAATACCAACACCGTTGCTTTCGCGGTGATGAAAAACCATAGCCTCTCAAAAAAGATCCTACCGACCAGACAGACCTGCAAGGGCTCCAGTTCCGATGGTAGACCCCAAGGAGGTTGGTGTATATTCATCGGGTCATTCTATGGGTGTGGAGCGCCCTGTTTTTAGACTAACCCATGTTCCGTAGATCCTCAGTAAACTCATACATGAACCTCTTTTCATCATGACGGAACCCCCAAAGCCATTCCAACATGTGTGGCCCTGAGCGTAGCAGAATCCGGCCCGGGGTGCGGAAAAGGTTTTTCACATTGGACCAGATTCCAAATTTCAGCGTTTGAGGCTTGGAGAAACTCCGAAAAAAACACGCCCACTGCTAGCCAATCTGTAGAATGTGCCGTCTTTGTGATTTGCCCGTCAAGGTGTTGATCACCAAGGGGCCAACAAACGCGTTGCTATGTCCGAATTCCTGCAACAGGTTTACCTTCCCTCAAACTACCCATAAACAAACGGGATATTGCCCCAAAATGATGGGTGACTTCCTTTCTTTGTGGCGATGCCCTTTCTTTATGGGTAGTTTGAGGTTGAAATACTATTCTTCTGGGGGGGGTGGCTGACATATGCCGTGCCTTTTCTTTGAGCTCTACCCCTTTATAGCCTAATTTAAGGGCTCCTCACAAGGCCCCTTCCCTCTCCCGGCCTAATCCCAATAATCAGGGGCTCGCCCAAGTAAGGTCTTCTTTGCTGGTGGGAGATTCCACTGTGGGGCCCTGGAAAATTCGGAAGTCCTGGGTCATGCAGTGTAAACGCCTGCCGCACGCCTCTTTTCAACTCGGCGCATTACCCGCTGTTTGCCTGGCGTACCTGGTGATCCATGGATTTGTCTTGCCCTCATGCAATTCATCAGGATGGCTCGAAGCATAGGAACCCCATCATTTTTATTTATTTTATTTTTTGTAAGTTGTCACCTCTTCATCTAATTGTCGCCGCAGCCAAATGTTTGGAGGAGCCAAAGGCATGTTGGCGCAACGAGGGACCGATGCTGTTCATACGAAACGGGGCAGGATGACATTAGGAGACGGATAAACCAACCAGCGACGATTTTGCAGAGGAGGGTTCTAACCCAACAAATGCGAGGGCACAGGGCCCTTTACATGTGCCTTTGACTCGTTCTAGCGGAATCCAACTGTCCCAACCTGCAAGCGGAAGGTTTAAAGAGATTCGCTTGTGAAAACTGTCACGGACGATTGTTGCTCCGAACAGACGTGGACTCACCACCAACACAGCGAACACGCAAGGACTCGCACAACGAGCGATTGTTGAGATTGTTGGAGGCTTAACCAGAAGCCTCCAACAAGTTGCCTTGTTGCAAGCTGGTTTTACCGTGGGTCCTCTAACGCAAGCTGGGTACTGGAAGAAGCTGTCTCATGCGTCGAAGCAGCAAACAACATGTCTTTCTCCAGCAAACATGGAGCATGATCAAACCTCGAAGATCCGCCATAGGAGTTGTTTCCCCCGCGAAGTGTGGTAGCTCTAACAAGGGCGTCCATCCAGCTTAGTCCAAAGTTGATTTGAGCCGCAGTATGCAGTTGCGTGCAGGGACCTGTAAAGCTATGAACGAGGCCCATGGTTGAAATCTGGGGAGTCTGTTGGTTCCTCCCAAACAAGCCATACACAACGTAGTCGGACTGAACCTCATACAATCCGAGGTACCTAAACCTCCCGGGGTATACACAATCATATGGCTACGAATTTTAGTGGGCAGGTGGACAACAAAACCCAACCTAAATGACTACCACCATCAATTCCCCCCATGAAACGTCATACCCATATGTACCGTCCTGAAACCTTACCCGGCCTTACCTAGGCCATCATCGTTGCCTGAGGAAGCCTAATTCTCCCAACGAAAGGGGTCATGACTAAACTCTTGATCTCGAAAGAGTTGGACACAAATTCCAAGGAAGGAACAACTTGGAAGTTGTAGCACCCACAGACACAAAGAACACGATAGAAAGGGCGGCCGCTCATCAAAACGTGTCCTTTCAGTACGTGGGCTAGAACCCTTCTTTCGGATGGAACAAAGCGGAGTGCAATTCTATATCCCATTTCCTCCTGGTGGTCAGCTTGGAAAATGAAAATGAACATAATCTTATTAAGTTGGATTTTTTTCACCATGCGCTGTTGCCCAAACTTCACGAGCCACATTGCAACATGGGTATGCGGTATGCAGGTATGCCAGTTTTGGACATGGCCCTGCTGGTCCTTTTAAAATCGGTTGAAGGAAGCTTGAGGGAATGCACCTTTCATTCTTGTTTGTTTTTGGAGGGGGCGGGTCCCTATTTGCCACTTGGACACAACTCACACAATCCATCAGCAATCCCACTAACAAACGTGGACCACGCTTGTAATTCTTCGGTCTCCTCTTGTGTCTCCTCCAAATCACCTTTGGTTTTGAAGGAGTGAGAAACTGTGAGTTTGTCTCCCTGAAAATTAGGTGCTTTCCTCTTGGCTTCCCGATGTCAAAAAGGGGTACACTCAATGGTAATGACCGGAGTCTACCAAAAACTATCTAAAGCATCAAACGGGCAGCTGCACCGATTCCTCTTTGGAACTGTTACTAACCTTCATCCTTGCATGGGAAAGCAAGGCATTTAATAAAGGTGCAGAAATGGCTCCCGTCCGCATCCACTTTTCGCCCAAACAGGCACCTGTCATCGACAATCATACTACCTACCACGACCGATACCCCGGTAAGATTGTCTAGTCCCTTCTTCCGCAAACGTTCCCCCAATATTACAACCCCTCCCAGCCGACCCCAAAAATGCCAATGCCCAATACTAAACCAACACTAAACCAATACTGAACTCTCCCGAAACCAGATCCACTCAGCGAAACTCTCCAGATGTGCTTGCATGGTCTTACTCATAAGTTCAGTTCCGAAGAGCTGGCTTGCTTGTGCTGGTTTTTGTTAGGGGTCTCCATTGGGTTGTTTTCATAAAGGCTTTCTCAAAAGAGGTCAACAAAAGGTTCCCTGCATTGCTCTGCCTATGCCACCCTGCAGTTGATTCATAGTGTTTTGTTTCAGCAAACAAGCATGCCTTCCCTTTTAGAGTTTTTCAAAAGTTGCATTCTAAAGCTTTTGTTTGCACATGAAATGCTTCCCCCTTTCCAATTTGATGCCCATGCTCAACAACGCAGTCTAAAACACTTCTGACCCAAAACCCGGAAGGCTAATAATAAAACCTCGAGTTTGTTACAATTCTACAGTTTCATTTTTAGTTTTTTTGTTTTCTGCGGGGGGGGGGGGGGGAGGCGGTTTATTGTTAGGTGAAAAGGATTGCTGCTCTCGACTAAAGTTGCAAGACCCGGACAAACTGCCGAAGGTTTGTGCCTGTCGTACCGTTTACTCTTTCCCTGGCCCCCGTTTGCCTCTTCTTGGCATTCCTTGTGCTTCATCTTGTCGTAGATCCGAGAGAACATGACCACAGACTTGGTCAGCTTGTCCACGACGGCATAGTCACCTTATGGGCATGTGTCAAAATAGGTGGATCCTCAAAAAGGAACACACACACACACACACCCTTCGGTGAGCCGTCAAACATCTTCAGGACTTGGGCGTGGTTCGCATCACAGAATACAACGCACAGCAAGTCTAAAATAATGGAAGAAACATAATGAATAGTGGAAGGACCGCACCAAAATGATAAGAACCATTATACGTAACATAAATACAACATTTATTTCCTTAGGACTGACTCTTTATTAATTATGGTCTAGACTCAAGGGTTTATGACGATCGATCCTAACAGCCGCCTATTGCTATTTGGACGACGTGTGCGGGTCGGCCCAAAAGCCCCAAAAGCCTCCAGATTCGGCAATACACAATGCCACAAAACCCGTGAAGTTTGGAGCCCCAAAAAGGGGTCGACTTCCTGAACCGGGAGACATATCCGATGCCCATGGCTTGTGTCCAGCCTGAAATCAGTCCCCGAGTTTAACCCACCATGGACTGCGCTCATTTCATCCCCAGGCGAGCTTTGCGAAAAATAGACAGACGAATTTGCCAGGTTGCTTCTTAACAGTCCGCTAACGTGTAGCAGTGGGAACAGAGCTATGCCACCTCAACGGATTCGCCAAAAGGGCCACTGAGCCAGGCAGCTATTTGGAAATGCTCCGCCAATAAAGAATCAGGTGGCAACCGCTTTGTGCGGCAACAAGGGCCCAAGCACCCGTGTGCATCCTTTATCCGGGGCCCAACATACTTGCCAGGAGGCTCGGAATTCTCCTGTCGGAGGCAGGGTGGTTCCTTGGTTACCTGCTTCATGCACCTACAAGCGGGGCTGTCGGGAAGGGGCGTGAACGCACTTCAACTCCTTGATCCGGCCTTAGTAAGGGCTTGTCCTTGGATGATCCTGTTATCCCCCATTGACCTCCACAAAGAAGTTCATGACTATTCTGACCATACGAGTGGATCTCGAAAAGACCCTTTGAGGAAAGCGCAAACAACTGTTTCCAAGCTCACCTGTTCCCAAAACGGGTTCTCAAAACCGGGGATTCGCAAAAAGGAGCTTCTTGCTTCTTGACTTCCAATTCCTTTGCTCTCCAAGCAAAACGCATGGATCGCCCCCGCCCAATCTCCCACCGCGCGGCAAAGTTCGCTGGAGACGGCCTTTGGCAGGCCAGAGAAGTTTTTCAAGTTCCGCACCTGCAGTCACACGTGATGAGATCGGCCCAAAACCCCAAAATGGGATTTATGGGATTTCCGAAGAGGTTCCTGAACCACCCCAAGGGTAGGGTCCGGAAAACCATTCCAAATTTAACCATCCCCTGTTGGTGTCCTTTTTGGGTGTAACAAAAGTTATGGTTGCCGTTTCAGCGAAAGGGGTTGGGAGCCCCACAATTCATGAGCAGGACAGCATCCAATCGATGCCACCGGCTGTTGAGATGGTCATAACGGCTCGAAACCTCCCAAATGCGTCTCCAAACACAACCAAACGAACTGGTTTAATTGAGCCCCCCGGGTAGATGGGTAGGCTTCGTCTTGTTCTGCCAGCAAATTTCTGCCCTCCAGGCAGATGCTGGGTAGATTTGGTCCAATTTCTCAGTCTCCTCTTCATGTCAGGTGAGTTGGTCCCATCTTAGCCCGACGTTGCCATGAAGTGCAGGTGGCGCCAGGGCGTAGCCCCCGAAGCTGTTGGCCGGACTTGCTTTGGGAGGTTCCTTTGAGGTTCTGCGTTCTGGCCAGTCGGGGCCCACCGCAGTGGCGAATCCTATGGAGGGTGTCCTGACCTTCGAGGGCTGCATTGAGCCCAAAGAAACGCCCCGATTGCACCCTTGATTTGTGTGATTTACCGTATGGCTGTTGCTTCTGGCACACAACAGACCAGTGACCCTGGTAGAAAGAAAGTCCTTTGGGTTGATCATCTTGAGTAGGGAATCCACCAACCAAAAAGGACAGGGCACATTCAACAAGTGGGTATAGATATATTTTGCAAGTAGGGGAGGAGGGAGCGCGCTCAAAATGGGTGGCTTCAGGTTTCCTTTAAACCAATGCCAAAAGGGTGCCCTCAAAAGAAACACATTTCCACAACAGGACCGAACAGCCAAGTGCTCCGAAATCCCCACCTTGTCCTCCACGAAGAATTGGCTCACATGACCTGAGTGATTTGGGCAAGGGGCAAAGTGGACAATCAGAAACGCATGGCGATACTTTCTGCAGGTGCAGGGATACATTCAGTTGCTTCAAAGGGGGAAACCCGCAAGACCTCGCAAGTCTAAGAATCATGGGTTTAGAATCTACACTGATTGTTAAATTCGAAGCAACCCTTGGTCCTTGCGGTTTGCCCAAACCAAGGGGTCCCACCATTTTCCTGGAGCGAGATTCTGTTTAAAATTATGAATTTGGATGAAATATAATTATCAATCATAAGAATCGCGCTTGTCTGCAGTGTGATAACGCCCCCGGACACAAGGGATGGTTCAGTAAGGCACCAATCTGCAAAAAGGAATGGACCTTAGTACAACTATTGTAGCTGGCTAAAAAACCCTCCACGAGAGCCCTGTTGAGAGCCCTAAGGGCAAGCGAGTGAACAAGCAATGAATGATTCCGATATGAGCTTGCGACACGAAAGCTCAAACAGGAATCAAGGCCGAACAGGATGTCCGTGGGCCATGGTCATACAGGTCAGCTTGCATGACGGTTGTCTAAATCACCGCAGGAACATCAGGATTGAAACTGCGGTCTACTCACTCCGATCCAATGATGTATTTATCCTGGATTTCATCAAACGGGGCACGCAGGCTTATTTCAGCTCAAACACGAGTTGGATCTTGACAAGTTGCTGGTTTCGCTACTTCATAGTATTGCCCTGCCAGACGTGGGAACTCGTTGCTGCATTCAAACACACAGAACACTAAACTTCTCAACAGGAAAACAAAGACACACAACAACACAACGATGCCCAAAACTGCCACCGCCAACGCCGCCACATCCAATTCTGCGGCACACCAAAAGTCGTATCATATTCTGTTTCATATTCAAGCTACCCTTAAATATAAACTCTTTTTTGAGGAGGCCACAAACTTCATGGGCAGTTGTCCACATCCCGACTCGCCTTCAGGATGAACCATGTGGGCTTTCGCGTGAGCGCCCTTCGCCCACTTCTTGAAAGCCTTGCTCGACCGCGAAAAGAACTCCCGGAACGAAGCCCAGCAATCGGTGTCTGGATATGTCCCCCCCGCAAAAAAAGGGGGACAACCGGGAATTACAACTAAATATACAAGATGCTTATTCCTTTGGCGGAATTGCAAACTCGCCCACCCCCACGTGGCCGCATGAGAAAATGGAATCCTCTTGTTATCATGTTGACTCTCTCGAGAACTACGGTTACTTACGGTGCGTGGGCAGGGATCATCACGAGAAACGTGACATTTGACATGAACATCCGACTCCAACCACTCGGGCTGTTCAAACTCGGTTGGCAACCAATGGCTGAAACGTCTGGCACCTAGTTCAAACCCAGCCTTCCAGAATCCCATTGAACACAACCCCATGCAAAGCAGTGAGTTGTTCCAGGTTCGGAAGGGTCAAAGCTGCGCGACGATTGGGTGCCGACGAGAGGACAACTCCGGGGCTTGCTCGCAGTTGGCTCTCGCCGTTGGCTCCGTGTCCTTTTCCGATCTGAGAAATCCCAAGAAGCACAAGGGACATCTCACTCGCCCCAAGGACCTGGACTTCGGGACCTTCACTCCGAAAGCTTTCCGGACCAAAGAAATTTCAAGGTAGCCCGCTGGCCTTGGACCTACCTCCCGGCCAACGCACACTCAGACCCCTGATGAAACCTCCGGGAATGTTAAACACGGAGGTAAAATGAGAAATGCAATTCAGCCGCACGACACGTGGCCTTACATAGGGTCAGCATCATGCTGGATATATGATGCTTCTTCCGCCGACAACTTCCGGAGGTTCCATGATCTGCAAGCAAGCAAGCGAGTGAGCGAACGAACGAACCAAGAAACCAACAAGCAAGTAAAAGACAAAGGAGAAGCGCAAGGAACAACCAGAGAAAAGCAGGATCAAACAAAAGAACGCGGAAAGATATTCTGTGGGAACACAAGGACCACGCAAGCAAACAGAAATCGAAAGGCACATCGAGCGACAACTTGGCAATAAGAAATGCCAATGAGGGCAACCAGCAATCAATGATAAAGCAAACAGAATCAACACAGAACAACATATAGTTACAAATAAAGTAAATCGAGAATCAACACGACAAAAACCAGTAAGGCATTCAGTGGGGGGGAGGGGAGGAAATAACAAAGCAAGAGGAACCAACAGCAAACAACATAAACGAGGACCAAAAGACAAACAAGCAACAGGGGATGCCAAAGGGGAAACACAAAGAAGAAACAAAAACAAGCAACACAATGAAAAAGCACCGACAAACACAAAAGGACATAACAAGCGAAAACAACGGGGAAACCAAAAGGACGCAAAAGGAACACTGGTCCATGCACCAGCTTCGGCCAACCCGCTGTTTAACATGTTCAGGCAGCAACTGCTTGAAGGTGGCTAGGGCCTGGCCTTTGAAACACATTTAGGAAACAACCCTGGCTGCAACCCTACTCCAAATACCTGAAAGAACATAACTTAAGCAACACATTTTGCTCAATCAACCCAGAAACAAAGCAGCGGATGTTTTCCAACAGCTACACAAACACGCCTACCGCCTTCCATTCTTCACCAGCAAATGTGCTTTTCCCAGGCTACCAAGAACATATATTCCGAATGTTGCTCAATATTTCGGTATGTCGTTCTTTCGAGATACCCTTTTCAGTTGAGTTTTGCAGGGAAACAAAAGGCCAAATTGCCAATACCCATTCACTATTCTGAGAGACCCACGTAGTCAACTCCAAGTGTTGCAGACATTTTGGTGGAGGTTCCATAGGTTTGAGGGCCCTACCTTTGAGAAAAAGTCAGGCGGGGCCCCGGGCACGGCGCAGCAGCGCAGTGCCGATGTTGCCCTCTGCCGTTTTCTTTCGCAGCACTTCCTGTGTCAACCCGGAAACGAGGTACACCAAGAGGTGAAGTCTGGTCGATTCGCTTTGGGCCGCTAACTATCCTGTCAAACCCTTTGAAAGGTGAAAGAGGTTCTGGGAGAAATGACCATGGCTAGGCCTAAGCGGCAATTTTTGGAGCTGGGCTGGCGGGAGGTGGTTTAAGCCGAAGGCCGCTTTTGGGGCGCACATCTTGTGGTGGGGCTCTGAAGGAACACCTACTGAAAACCAAAGCCAGCTTCTTGGAGGGAAGGGGTCCACCATATAGGAGCCCAAACTTTACAATGATTATACGGGTACACCGATAGCAAATTTGAGCCTACTATACTGTTCCGTTTGGCGGCACATTTCTCCAACTGGATCCGCACGAGGTATATCTTGGGAACTCAATTCTTGAATGCTTTGTTTTGACCGTAACGTCATTGTCAGGGTTGACTTAACACTTTGCCATCTTGCCGTGTTGCGCAAATCTTTGATGTCACGCTGGTCACATTTGGACTCTCTTCCAAAGTCAAGTTCGGACACAAAGCCGCATGGGGCGCCTTGACAAAGAAGGAGGGTTGTAGCCCCCCTCTCTGGCTGCACTTTCCCCATTCAGTCCAGGGTTCTTTTCTGACAATTCCTTGACAAGACGAGGACTTCTACTGACTTGCCAGGACCTGGAACTGCAAGGTGAAGCTTTTGGAACCCTCACTAGACCAAAACGGGGGAAACCTAAAGGGTCAGATCAGGTCGATTCGCTTTGGGGCAAGGGAGGAGTTTCAAGCAAACAAGTCTTAATCAACATACACAAGAAGTCTACAAGCGGATCCCCAGCTTGGTCGCCCCCTCGTGCCTTCGGTCCTCTGGTTCGCTGAGATGTTGTTGCCAAGAACCAGAAATCCAATCCCAAACCAATCACCACCAGTTGGTTTGGGGCCTTTCTCGAGGCACAATGATACAGCCCCCAAGTCAAATTCACCAATGTTACTTGTCACACCTAAAAAGGACCAAATATCTACATTAACACAAGCATCATGAAATTGCGAATAACATGATACTCCAAAGATGGTAACTTGGAGATGAAGAAGATTTCGCCCACCCATCACCGAATCAACCGGTGAGGGAAGGGATAGAGCCACATCTCAACCACGATGGGGCGGATAGAACCCAATTCTCCCCTCAAAGGAGAGCCATCGAAAGCTTGCTCTCGTGGAACGCGCATAGACACATGCCGTTCAAACACACTCTCCACAGTCATCGAAGCCGCACTTCCCACACGAATCACCAAGTGCTATCCTGAAACCCTCGATCCCATTCAAGCAAGGCGCAATGATGCACATAGATCTGGGCAAATCGCGATGATTCTAAAACTGTAAGCAAGGGAAGCCTCCGATGGGCTACATCGCTCGCGTATCGACCAGAGCCAGCCTGCGACTGTCCAGGTTGGAGCAAAAGGTCGTACCAGGTTTTAAACCTGGGCAGAAGACACAAATATGTGCCGAGCAAGCCTCATGTGAGGATGGTCTTTGGTTTGTCATCCCATCGTTGTTGGCAGCCTCCTCAAAAACATGAAAGACCCCCTCAAAAGGCACCAATAGCTATTAGAGGTGGATTTGGGGCTCCGACAGCCGAACCTTGCGCATGGTAAAGGTTGGGACTAAAAGAACCATGCTGCATACCTGATTAAATACCTGAGCAGAAAACACCACACTCCGCGAAATGCCAATCAATCCACATGCCACGGTATCAACCTGCTTTTGAAGGAGGCTCGCCTCATGTTCCAAAACCAAAGATTGCACCGGCTTACAGCGGGAATATAAAGACCCCTAAATTTCCCAACCTCTACCAGAAACTGGAAGCCCCGCTGGCCAGGACCTTCCCCTTCGGAGAGCTCGTGCAAATGCACGCACGAATTGATCAGAGGAGCAAGCGGACAGGGGAAGACATGCCGAGAAATTGTTATATGCACGGGAATGTTAACCCCGGACTAACAAACCCCTGGTTGATTAATAGGGGGGTGTCCCCTTTCCGGGTTTATTAATCCTGGGTCAACATTATCAACATCCAAGGCAACGGAACACAAACCGTCCCGCTTTGAGCTCTGCCTTCACAATGTCGCCTCAAACCGAAAGACAAATCACAGGCTTCATTTCCCGAAGTCGCAAGGTTTCCCTTCCTCAAAGGAGCCATGAGTCTGTGCAATTCAGAAAAGTGTTACTTTGTCACCTCGTTGTGAAACGGGTTTTGCCCTCAGCCGGCAGCGCCACCTTGCAGCCACCCATGTACATTCTCAGGCCTAAAGCCGGAAAGCAGCTTGGAGCGCTGAAAACCTTCTCAAGCTTCGGGAAAAAAAACAACTTGCTGTCTGGTCCCTGGCAACTTGCAGAGTCACGCTGGCAGAGCGGCAAGCCGCCAGGAAGGTTGGAAAAAACAAGAATCGCAAAGTTGATTTTGTTGCCAGCCCCTGGCAGCTTGCAGAGTCTCACATGTTCGTTCTCAGGGCTAGCAGCGCCGGACAAGCCTTTTCCAAGGAAGACTGCAGGGAAACTACTTAGAGGAAGACTAGCGGGAAACTAAGGAAGACTAGGGGCCTACTGGAAGCTACGGGAAGACTAGGAGAAAAACCACTGTTCAGAGCCCAAACATGTTTTTTGTCCAACAATCACCAGTGACCACAGAAAGCATCTTCTCAGGTACTGAAAAAACGGTTAAAATGCCATGGGACCCTCTCCTGCATCACCTAGGTGCGCACTTCGTTGTTCTGCAGTTAGTTAAACCACCTCTTTGACTTCAATACCCACACACACACCCACCCCAGATTCTGCCGCACACACACACACACACCCGCTCCCCCAAAAAATCACGGTTCGGCGTGTCTGACGCGAGACTCCTTCAGAGACGCCAGGATGGCTGGATGCTTCGGGCTGGCCGCCAGAAACCTTGGAGAACACCAAATGGATGTGGGTGTGTTTTAAAACAGGAATCGATGCCCCCCCCCAAACAGAAATGGCCTTTGGTTTCCTTTTAAACCAACCCCAAGAAGGGTGCCGAGCGTCGGAATACAGAGGAAAGACCCAGGGGGATGTGTGTGTGTGTCTTTTGTTGAGGGTGTTCAAGCGAAACCAGAGGGCAACCATTTTTTTTTACACATATCTAACTTGAGTGAGAAGCCAAAACAAAGGTGCCCAAACCAATGATCTACCCAAGCCAGTAGTAGCGTCGACCCAAACCTATGCGAAGAACTGATACCCGAGTCTTGCTTTATCTGCAGTGAAGGGGCTGACCTGGGCCGCTCTCAAATCCGCCAAATTCGGAAGATCTGGGAAGGGTTGGCGGGGCGAGGGGGTTGCGTTTTTGGGGGGCTGGAGGGTTGCTAATTTGGCAATTTGGATACCGGTAATTTCCAGCAGGAAGTTGGACGTCCAGCTTCGCATGCTTGGAATGATTCACAGTCACAGTCACGTTTCGACCCCATTTGTAGGCTCACATACCTTGAAACTCTGCGCCCTTTCTCTTTACAAGCATTGCCTGGCTGGGGCAAATAATTCACATTGAAGGCAATCACCTGCCGTTTGTTCGACAGCATCTCATCGTTCTTCAGAGGCCCTGAGCAAAAGTCCTTCGCCTATCTTGCAACTGTGCCCGAATGGGATCAGGGGGCGGTCTGAACATCAAAGCAGAGATTATCAAAGTCTGTTGTGAAATGGCGGAGGCGGGGAAGTCAGCAAACTGGAGGTCGCATGAGTATTGACCTTAACTCTCACGGCAGGGTACACATGCAAACCAATCAGACAGGTTTTGATTCCAAACCGAAGGGACCTGCTTAACTCGGCTCTTCACCCCTAAGGGTTTTTTGTATTCCACCCTGGGAAGTCACCCGGATAACATCGTCTTACTTCAGAACGATATTGGACACGCGAAAAGAGTCTTACAGAGCCACTGTGTGCTTTTTGAAAATGCACGGGAGAAGAACTGGATCGCTGGCTGGGGGTAATTCGATTTTTGGCGGCTCCCGAACCAAACTGAAGAAAAACATGGAGGAATCCACATGGCTTTTTGAGGCCTCATAAGGTCCTTTGAGGTCTTGTTCATTTTTTCAACCATTAGCTATGTTTCGGATTGGGTTTCTGAAAGAAAAGAATGAACCCCACTTGCTTTTGGTGGAAAAACACGGTTGTGCGCCAACAAAAACTCAGTGTCCCTCGGGTCTCGCTTAGGCACAATCATCTTTTGTGATTCGAACCGTCACCCAGTGACCTGTGATCATGGATCATCTACTATCTATAGCATAAGTTATGATTTCTGGCGACCCAAACCACAAACAAATATTTTCAGATTCTATCACCCATATTTAATTTAGCCTAAAAAATGAAGCAGATTTGGACGAGAGCCCAGTCATGGACGCCGTGTGGTTATGGAAATCACGAAAAACAACATAGTTTTGGAGACCCCAGGGTTCCCTTTGGTTTCCTATTGAAACGACCCTAAAAGGGAACCTTGCCCCAGACACGGTCGCAAGAATGCAACCCAAGTGCGCATCGTAGGGTTTCGGACCCAAATAAATTTCGGTGTCCGTTGCATCCTTCGTTGGTTTGAATCCTTTTCAGGCTTTGATTTTTAGAAAAAAAACTCCCTAAAAAAAAAAACGGTCAAAGGGCACTGGGGGACCTAGTCTGTGGAAAACGGGGGGAAGCCACACATCAACTCCTTGCCAGCCGACTCGAGCGAAAGGCCGAGGTGCGCTTGGAAGAAGCTTCGGCCCCCAGCGGCCACCACGGTGGCGAAGGTGGTCTCCTGCATCCCATCCGGGGTTTCCCACCCATGGAGCCCTGGCTGTTTTAGGTTGTTCTTTGGTTTTGCTGCTGTGTTGGTCATTTCTTATTCTTTGTTGTTGTTTGGTTTTGGGAGGATTGCGCATGCTATGGTTCACGGGTAATGGGTTATGAGTTGTGGGGGGTTCGTAATGCATACGCAGTATATGCATATATATATAATACATATATACATATATACATATATACATTGACATACACATATATATATATATACATACAACAGCTCGCGCCCCCGCCCCCCCCCCCCCGTCCGCCCCCCAATGAACTACATTTGGGTCATGCGTGTCTGATTCAGCCAGCTCTGAAGGATCATCTGCTCATCTGATCATCTGCTCATCTGCTCATCCGCATTTGCTCATTTGTGTCTGCACCCACCAAGCACCAACATGTTAAAGCAACGTATAGGCATCTGTGATTAAAATCCTGTTTGGAAATGAATTCCTACTTAAATCATAAATCAACATCGACATTCATGTTGCAGCGACTCTAATTCTCAATTTCACTAGACTTTCAGCTGCAAACATGTCCTTATTTGATTCTGTTAAGATATCTAGCTAGAGATTTATGCTGATCTTACTAATAGGGGTTCAAAATAAAGCCCAGTCAATACTTTAGTTATTCCCTGGATATGTTCCATTCATGGGAAGAGCGTTTTCTTCAATTTCTATCTGACGATAGAAGTCTAGTGAATTTATTTCCTATTGAGCTCTATGCACATTCTACTACTCACTTCATGTGCACAGAAACCCCGGTTGAAATGATCCGCCAATTTCGAAATTCTAACAGAACTATTTCCGAATAAGCTTCAGTTAGAATCCAATTTGATATACTGAGCCTTCAAGGGAGCTTTATAAGGGCCTTTAACAGGAGCTGCACAAGGAGCCCCATAAGTAGCTTCAAATCTCAAAAGCTTTGTAGGAGCTTTAAAGGGAGCTTGATAAGGAGCCTTTAGGAGCTTTACAATTGAGCCTTATAAGGAGGGAGCCTTCCGTGGAGCCTTTTCAATAAGGAACCTTGTCACTAAGCAGCCAAAAAAAGAGAGTTGTATACGGAGCTTCAAGCCGAGCCTTATGAGGACTTGCCCGATTGGCCAAAAAAACCCTTCACGTTGCCACCTGAACCAAGAAAGAAATACAGAAATCAAGATGACAAAGACAAAGACGCGAGAGAACAAAGATAAATAGTAAGAGAAAGAGAAAGAAAACAAACATAAACAGAAACGAGATAACAGTACAAGACAAAGACAAAGGTAAACTATACGCCGACATTGCTCGGCGTGTCGGATACCAAAGAGAGGACTATTGGATACCTAAGAGAGGATAGAGGATAACCCCCCCCTTAGTCCCCCCCCGGCACACGTCAAATACGCATGGTTTTTCGGTCGCCACCCCCCCCCCCCGTGGCAGGGAAGATTACGTACAATGTGCCGCCGCGCGCCTTCAAGAGCAGAACGGCTCATTGTTGCACATGGACTCTTTTGGTGCAATCCCAAGAGTAGAAAGGAATGTCTTGGCATGCCCCACCCTGAAAGAACCAGCTAGTTTGTAGTAATAGAAAAAAGGGTGAGGGGTGATGAAGACCAGATGAATCGAATTCATACTCCTTTCTTTATCTTTCACTCTCTCCCCTGACCATTTCTTCCTACAATCAACTCAACAAACTAGGATGGAAAAGACAGGGATAAAGAAATAAACATAAGATAGGTAAAGGAGAGAGGACATCTTCTGTAACACGCTTCTTTTGGACAACTTTCATACCACACATACCTGATGGAGAAAGAGATGGAGAAAACCGTACAAATAGAAAGGCTACTGGGATTGTGGGATGGATTCATTTGTATCTCAGAGATTTTGTCGCATACCAGGTTAGACCAATCGATGAAGGTAAGGGAAAGGGAAAGGTGTGAAAGAACAAAGAATGATTAAGAAAATCTTCCGCCCAGACATCACGCAGAATACACCAGATAGCCTGTCCGTGAGACTTGGAGGAGATGATGATTGAAGATTCCCTCACTATCCCTTTCCAGCCTGTCTTTGGGGCCTCTTCCAAATCATTGCCTGTTTCCTCTTGTCCATCCATCCTCATTCTTTATTTGCATTTATGGATGGGCAAGAAGTGACGAAAGCATTTGCAGGCAGTAATAATTACGGTAGAAAACGTAATATCCTCCCTTTCTTTTCAAAATCCTGTTTTATACAAGCTAACAACATAAAAAGGGCGCGAGACAGTTGTGACAAAGCTAAAGATAATTATGGGTGGTGCTTACAGAAGCTATCTAATTTATTACGTGCTAATACATGCTTCTAATCTTAAAACCATACTTACATTCCTCGTTCTTTTCTATTGTATTCTTCCCTTGTTGAGATTCATTACGCCATCTTTCTTTGTGAATGCTTTTGGCTGTCCGGTCGTCGCTGGGGCTCACCGAAAGGAAAAGAGATTATGAGTAGGTCTTACTCATATTATTTTTGCTTGTGTTTTACTATCTTTTGGACCTTTCATCCTTCCCCTTCTTCTGTTTCCCTTTTCAAGCGTTGAAGAATGCCAGAAATCGAGGGGTGAAGGAAGGAGGGAGAAGCTAGCCCCCCCGTTCCTTCTTCTCCAACTGTATCGCTAGTGGGGAGAAGATAGGAAGGAGATCAACCGTTCCATCTTTACCTTTCCCTTCCCCACTACGTTCTGGAGTTCTGTCACTACGAAAGACTCACGATGGAACAGTCTAAAAGTGGGACGAAGGAAGGGGATATTGGCTTTATTTTTGGTTTATTTGTAGAAAAAGAAAGCCACTTTCCACAACCCGCTTCTTTCTGTAAAAACACAGATGGAAGAAGATGACCTTTCCTTTCCCGGCCCAGCCAACGCTTGTCATTTTCCTTGCCTTGTCTTTTACATTGCCATGTTTTGGAAATGAAGAAGTAAAGCGTCTGGCAAGGAGGTAAGCGCCCATCAATACTAATTGAAGATAACGAATTGGATGGGCACTTACCATGTCTTTCTATCACTTCTTTCTTTCCTTTTGATGAAATTGAAGATTGAAAATGGGAAGTGAGAAGCCTCTCTTGACTTCTTCCTCAAGCATAGGCTGCTGTTAATCTTACGCCGTGTGATGCTTGGGAAGAAGAAGAAGAGAAGATAGGAGAGGGTGAACAGAAGTAGCGTGATTCTTTCTTTTCCTCCGATCGCATCCGGATTTTCCCATGTATGTCACCCACCAACATCTTCAACCCATGAAGATTTGACTACAGAATCCTTAAAACCTTTTTAATAGCAAATGCTAGCGGTCTCTCTCTTTTGCTAAAAATCTTCTGGAAATGAAAGGACAAAAATAGAGTTTTAGATCATAGGATGGTGTAAGGACTGGGTTCTTCTCATCGTTGACGTCCTTTCCTTGAGCCGGAGGCTCTAAAGTACGTCAAAAAAACCGCCCACCGGCTTCGCCGGCTCTGCTGGATACACATATATAGTCTAAAACATACTCGCATATACATATACATTATGTTGCTATATACATACACAGCAAAGATACCCACTCCATGCTTTGCCACGTTGAGTTGAGCCCTTTGAACTGTTTGATGGAAGGTAGGCCAAACAAGCTCGGATCGTCTCAGGCTTTGCCAAACGGATCCGGCCTGCTGCAGAAAGAATACCAAACAGGCCTGAGTCTCAAAGGGTAAGCTACATCCAACGATGCCACATGCTTGAGCAGGTCTCGTTGCTAACTTCACCTTTTCGAACCTCGACAAGAACAAATCAGACCAAAAAGGGACCCCCCCAAAACGCCAAGCCGGCAAGGTGTCCCTCGCCTTTGCCAGATGCTTCCGCAGATCCTTCACGGGCAAAATGTCCTGCGCTTGGATCAGGCTAAGCTCAACCAACAGCTTTGATCATTTGGAGGCATCCTGGTAGGGGATTCATGTCCACATAGCTGGAACCCTATTCATCGTCACCGTTCCTATTAGCAAACCATGGCATTCAATGGGAACCAATGCTATCTGCTGTCAGTTTCAAAACCTCAAAGAAGGCCTGCTTAATGTGCTTTTCCTACAACATGGAACCCGAGCCCCCATGCATTTTTAAAGCAATTGCCTTTGCGGGCCTCACGGCTTTGTGGGGTTCCAGGCCCAGCATTTTCAGACATATCGGTGCTTCTGAATTTGTCGCGCCCTGTCATCTTGAAAGCAAGCACAAGCAAACTCTGCGTTTGGGCAGTTTGCCGGAAATCGCCCTACACCCGTTTCCAGATGGCAAAATAACCGCATCCCTTAGAAGATAATCTACTTGTGTCTGCGAGTAGTCGTACGTACCGCCCACCAGCTGGTAACATTTTTGGGCAGCCTGTGCGAGACATACATATTTTCTGCGACGACAAACCAAACAATTTGGTGAAGGTGCTACACTAGGTCGGCACGCGGCTTGCCACGACAAGATCACAGCAACACTTGCGGTTGCAAAATCCGGGCTTGCCCTTCTGTCGCGCAATCTTGGTCTTTCCTTACAACGCTTTCTTTGCGACTGTCTTTGCAAGTTGCTAGCCAGCTTGTATGCTCTGCTTGCACGCTTGCGGCGCTTGCTCTCCACGTTGGCATCCTTATAGACATGCCCGACATCGACCAAGAACTTGCATCGCCAAAATCATCCCAAACGAGATCGCCAAAGACACCCCTCAAAACAGACCCCTACAGATTCTCCCGCAGACATCTCCCGAAAGGAATCCCAAGAGACCCCCGCAGAATCTCTACAGACATCAAAGCACCCCTGAAGACATCGCGCCAGGACAGCTTCCAAAGACAAAGACACCCGGCCCCTGCAGGTCCTCCCCCAAGCCGTCACCGAAAACAACCTCAAAGGCATCTCAAAAACAATCTCGAAGACATTCATCCCCCTGAGACATCACCTTAAATGTTGATCCCTTCAAGACACCCTTCCCGAAACATCAAACACATCACACAAGACAACTGCAAAGACATTTTCAATATATTTCGTTGAGACTGCTGGCGCCCTTGTTGGCGAAGACGCCTGCCGAAGCCGGCGCCGCCGCACGTTGCAACCAGCAGCTGGTACCGGCCAGGATCCTCCAGGCCGGTGTGTGGGTCTCCAGAGAAACCCTGTGCTAATGTCTGCCCGTGTTGAGGCGAAGTGCTTGTATCTGCTGTGCGCCAGGTCCTGGTGTTCAGGACTCATGTGAAACAAAATGCTGGGTGACAAAACCGTGCATGAGGTAATGCAGGAGTAGACACCAACCCTGAGTGCTTAGTGACGAAGCCGCGCAAGAGGTAATGCAGTAGAAGACACCGAACAACCGGAGGTCGCATCGGCAGCCAAACAGCAAAACTCAGCGTGACCACGTCGTACAAGCGGTAGTGCGGAAAAAGGCCGTGGTGGCAAGGCGACCAGTGGTCGGAGCCTGGCCCGATCAGGCTGACGCTTCACCATCACCAACCCCGAGTGCAGAGTGACGAAGCCGTGCAAGAGGTAATGCAGTAGCAGACGCCGAACAACCGGAGGTCGCATCGGTAACCGTCCCAAAGCAGCAAAACTCAGCGAGGCCAAGTCGTACAAGCGGTAGTACGAAAAGAGCCGTGGTGGCAAGGCGACCGGTGGTCGCAGCCTGACACGATCAGGCTGACGCTTCACCGTACCTTGCGAGCCAGATGGCTCTGACCGTCGCTTCACAGTGCTTCAGGACCGCCTGGTTGGTCGCCTTGGAGACGGACCTGACGGGCCAGGCCATGCGGGCTTGTTGCGGGTTGCTTGGCCGGGCGGGCCGGTTGCTCGCAGTAGGAGTCTGAGTGCGCTGCAGAAGGTGTGCTCGAAGGTGCCCAGGCTTTGACACCAAGGGCAGTCAGGCCTGTGTGGTTGTGCTTGGCGATCCGGGGCCGCCGGGTAGTCGCGGCCCAGCCAGGCCTCGGAGACGACTGCGCCGAGAAGCACGGAGCGGCCGGCGGCGTCGGCGCCGTCGAAGGCTTCCCGGAAAGCCGTGTCGAGGTCTTCAGGCCGGTTGGCGTCCCTGATGCCCTGTGCTTCGCGACGATGACCATCGCGCCATTTAGTGAGTTGCAGGAAGCGCCACTGCTGCCGTATGTGTTGTGTAGCGACATACTCAGTCGCTCGAGGTCAGCGCGTACATGCTTCGCATTGTTGCCGTTTCCGGTGGTCCTAGCGCAGGGGCCGGCGACCTGCCAGCCTTGCTTGGCCATCCATCTTCGCAGGATGCCGAGAGTGGTGGGGGGCTTGTTGGACCATGTGGTTCCTTGTGCTCGCAGTCGAGCGGAGCGTGCGAGAGCCCTGCAGGCCCAAACCGGGTCGAAGAGCTCCACCATAGATGCCGCGGCGGATGTTCTTGTTGGCCATCCTTGCTCGCCGTCGTCCCATCCTAGCTTCTTTGCTGTCCAACCATAAGCGCAAAGAGACAGGACGAAGGTCTTTGTGTAGCGGAACAGCAGGTTCACGGAGAGCCGGACCGTGTCCAAAGCAGGGCCCTTGGCCCTGGCAAGCCTGCTAGCTTCCTTGGGGTCATGCTTTCTGCGGCCGGTGGTGCACGTGACAGTGCCCAAGAGCTGGAGTTCCTGTGTAACCCAGCCATCTGGGGCTTGGGCTGCGAGTTGTGCTTTTTGTCGCTTTGGTTTTGCTACTGTTTTCACTGAGGCCGACCCTGGAGGAGAAATCGGTCGGCTCGTCGCTGGGCAAGTTCCCATGTAGGCATGGTGCGGCAGATGCCCTGGCTAGCCAGCCAAGGTCCGACCTCATTTGTGAGTGCTTGCTGGACAGCTCGATGACCCGCCAGCATCCAGCAGCCGAGCGCACAGGGCGCCAGGGGACAACCCTGCGGCGTGGCTCGGACTGTGGAGAGAGTGTGGTTGTGCCAAGTGATCCAACGAGAACTCTTTCCCCGAGGGTGGCTGCGAAACCACCGTTGGCGTCGAGCCGGTCTTGGAGCTGGGCAGCCGCGTCTTCGGCGCCCAGGCCACCTTTGCCTCCCGCGAGCTCTGACGAGAAGTTGCGGCGTCTCCACTCCTGAAGGGACCTGCGTTGCTCGTAGGCCGATGCCGTGACTCGCCACCAGACGGAGAGCACGGCTATAGGGCGCGTGTCTTCGGCGGCGACGAGGTGGCCTTGAACCTTGTGCGGCTTCGGGAGGTTAGTCTGGCGAGCCTCTCTAAGCTGCTCGGGCAAGTTGTCAGCTCGCCCCCATCTGTCGATGAGGCCTGTGAGTATGTGCTTGGCTGGAGTAGGTAAGCTTCGCAACTCATCGGCTTGCCATCCGTCCGGTCCAGCAGAGCCCTTGCATCGACCGAGGGCGTTGTCGACGTCCTGCTGGGTAAGCGGCTGCCAGACAATGTGGTGAGTATCACCTATGCTCTGGGCCAGTTTGCTATGAAGGCTGCTGCCTCATTGTCGGTCTCCGAGGTGGCCCCTTGGTAGCTAACCTGTAGCCCTTCAGTTCTGCTCTTAAGCCAGCGGGAAGCGCCCTTCATACCTTGGAGGTTGGCTTTCCACTGCGTCAGTCTGTTGTGCTTTTCCTCGTCTTCTCTGCGGACTCTGCTTTCCTGGAGCTCATGTGTTTCGAGCCTGGCTTTCCTCTGGATTTGCCAGGGTTCTTGAGGTGTTTCGCACCCCCATTTTTGCAGCAAGCTTCGGTCGAGCTGTCTGCCTGAGTGGTCATCTCCGGGACCAGCTTGGTCCGCCGCCGTAGCTTGCCGGTAAGCCTCGTGCTGACGAGCACCGTGCTGTGCGTTGGTCCTGAAAAGGCCTTGGCCTTGTTGAGCCATTGGTGCTGGGCTTGGAGGCGTTTGGTTGTGCAGTTGAGGCCAGCCTTGTGCATTTTGTCAAGTTCCTTCCAGAGGGTAGTTGGCTCGCTCTGGGACGGACATCTGCTGTGTTCTTCAAGCCTCGCCGTAGCTGTGGTGCTTTTGAACATTCTGGTGAGGCAGGTGAGGTCCTGTTGCAGGAGGCCCTGGAGGCGTTGCCGTTGCTCGTGGTTCCAGGCAAGCTCGAGGCATTTCTTCCAGGCTGTCGCCGCCATGTGTTGGGGCTTGGTCCAGTTGGGCTGTCTGGTGTGACTTGCTGCCAGGAAGCCAAGTGGGGAGGGCACGAGCTAAACCAATCAATGGCCTTTTGACCTTGATAGGTAGTGGGGGCCCCATCCCTGTGTATGCTACCTCCCAGGCCATCTATGGCTGCCGCCACATGGGAGCTGGTGGGGTCCGGGCTTTCATTGGCATCGCCCGCCGTGATCCACCTCTGGTGAGCTTCAAGGATGGCAGCCGCGGCATCCTGTTGGCTGTCCGGTGGAGCGTAGTGATTCATCACTGCTGTGCCTCGGATCCAAGTGAGCAAGAGCTGACCTCTTCCGACCGGCACCCCTCTACCGACCACCTGGCCGGCACCCAGTCGTTGCTTGTAGTGCCAGGGGATCAGGGTAACGACTCCTGCTTGGATTTGACCAGGAGCAGGAGCTTGCCGGTACGCTCGCCAGCCTTTGCGTTTGGCCGCTATGGTGTATGCTTGCCACTCGTTGCTGGTGGGGTTAGCTGACCCTGTCAGGGGACCAGTGTTCGAGGCTTCGCCACATGCCTGGGACTCCTCCTACGTTTAAGGCCGTTATTGCATGCGCTTCTGTGGCTTTCGCTGCAGTCGCCGTGGTGACTGCCGCAGGCTGTTGCCCGTTGGTTGTGAGGACTTGACGGTCCTGGGTGTGGCTCGATGCCCTGCTGCACCAGTCTGTCGAACTTGGCGCGGGCGAGCTCGAGGGTGGTTCCCCATACCTCGACCAGCGTTTGGGCCGTGGTCGGGCTGTGTTGGACTCGCTTCCAGGCAGCCCAAGCGCTGCCAGTGTACTGGAGTTTGCCAGCGCAGGTTTTGCAGGTTTTGCCCTCATCGCTGCGGGACCATCCGGCACGGAAGCAAAATCGCCAGCACTTAGTGCACGTGATGCCTCTGCTTCTGGGCAGCTGTTTTGGCCTGGTTTTCTTCTGGCCGCCACTTTTCCTCTTGTGCTGCTTGAGAGGCATGGTTGGCCAGTGGATGTCGAAGGAAACAGCAAGATGGCCGTTTACCTTCGTTTGGTTGGCAAGCGTTTGCTGCCTTCGGTTCTTGTTGGCCAGGGTTCTCTCTTGGAGAGACTGCGCGAGGTTGGGCAAAGCCTTCTTGTTCTCGCGCCACTTTTTCCACCTGTGTTCTGGGCATGTGTGCGAGGCCTTTGTTGCAGTAGGCGCATGACCAGATCCTCTGGCTGATGGGTTTCAGTTCAGAGGGAGTGACAGTTAGAGTCAGGAGACGGAAGTAGTTGACCCTGTCAGGGTGCCGCTTGAGGTGGTTGCTTCGTGTGTAGGAGAGGACGTACCCGTTGGGTGCCTCCACACGGACGCTGCAGTAAGGGCAGGTCCACAGGTATGGCCTGGCGGGAGCCTGGGGCACCTTTTGCCGCGCGGGGTTTTCTTGCGTAACCGGAGCGCCGCTTTGCCTGGTGGTGGGAGTGTCAGTATAACGACACTCAAAAGGCATCTCAGCAAAACATTGCTCCAACCAACCTTCCAAAGACGTCCCCCCCAAAGACATGACCCAAGACATCAGCGAAGACACCCCCAGACAAATCCTCCAAGAGGTCAGACACCCTAAAAGATGTCCCTAAAGACACCTTCCAGCGACATTTTGAAAGTCCGCCCCAGACATCACAAAACCAACTGCAACGGCCAAACGCCCAAAAACAACACCCAAGACAATAGCAAAGACATCCCAGCCAAAACACCTTTATAGGCATCGAGGCATCCCCAAAGTCATCCACAACTCGTAAAGACATCTCCCGAAGTCACGCTCAAGAAGTAAGCACGTGCCTCGACAAAATGCACTGAGGCAGCGCGCCTGCCACGAAAAACAACGCGCGCCCTCCGCCACAGTATCTGAAAACTCTGCCACTGCGCAGCGAAGCGACACGGAATGCCTCAAAAGCTATGAGTCACGCACAGGCGCATTAAAACAACATTTGGCAAGCCAAACATCACACCCTTTGAGCCTTCCCCAAGAGCACCGCCTTATCGCCGCCGAGCGAGCGAACAGTTGCGAACTCCAGAAAAATACGGTGCGAACACGACCTCCAACCCCGACCCCCACTTCTACACCCCGGCCCCTCACAAATCAACGGGAACGCTTTGCTACGCATTCGGGAATCAACACAATTCCAGTAGTGATAAATTCCCGGTAAAGTCAACAGGGGAATGAACAGCATGCAGTCTGTAAATGGAAGCCATGCATTTCCCCGAGGCGAACAAAAAGCCGAGACCCGAGCCGTGTCAAAGTAGTAGCCACCCAAGTTGTACATCATGACCAGGCGGCACAGGTCTGACTTCACCATCCCCACCTCCAACATGGGAAGCTCGGCCCCAAAATGTACATGGAACCCCAACAGGAGGCCACCAAAAAGAAGGCCCACCCAGAAACAAACCCTCTGAAAGTGATGGTTTTGAAGTTCCACGACGGGAGAGGCCAAAGGCTTAAAACATCATCCAAGGAATTTTGGACGCTGCCCCTATGAAAAAGAATGAATCCTGGTAAGACAGCAAAAGAGCGGATATGCGCGCATTTGTCTGGGTCTATCCACCTCGTATCCCTTCCCCGTCATAATGTAATCCCTTGCTCCCCGCCAAACAAAACAAAAACATGAGAGAACCAAATATGTCCACGCTAGAGGCCCCTGAAGCCAGTTCTAAAGCAAGTCCAAACCGACACAAAAAAAACACAATAGGTGCATCATTGATCCCATTTTAACCCACTAGAATGCATTCTGAAAAGGTGTTTGTCCTTTTGGAGCATGCTACGTGTCAAAGGCACCCAGCTTTTGACCTGCAGCGACATTCTGGCAGCTTAGAATTGGGTTATGTGTCAAGTTCAGTGAAACATATTGCCGATTTGGGGCAGAGGGGCATCTTCCAACCAGCCTTGATTCTGCCTTCCCAGGCGTTTTTCGAATCGACGTGCAGACGAGGCCGCCAAATCCCATTCAACAACACCAAAATGCAGAAACGGCCGAACAGCACGTGCGTCCTACATCGACAACATCAGCATGTGTCCAACATCCCTACATACGAGCTCAACAAACATGAGGCGACATCTGGAACCAACCAACAAAAAGGCAATAAGAGGTGACAATGGGTACAGTGGCTCACCTGGTTTTTGGTTTTCGACTTAAACTTGCCAAATCAGCCCAGTCTTGCAGCCGGCGTATCAGTCCGCGATTGACAAATGGGTGTCCGAAATAAACAAGAAGCTCGCTCTATGCTGGGGTTCCATGTTCTGGGACTTGCTCAACGACTTGCCCAAGAACAAAACCCCGATGTTATGTCTACAATGGAAAACCGTGTGAGACCACTTATTAACTGGACACCACTTGGCTTTTGTGGTGTCCTCACCGACGGCTAAACAAAAAGCTACCACATGTTTTGTCTATTTTTAAACTTGGGCCAAATCTGGGGTACACAGAAAACATATATTCAGAGGTTGCTTCATATTCTTGAAGATGGCACTGGCGATTGCTATGCTAGAGCTCTCGCTTTTGCTGTCAAATTTAGGACTTGTTTCTGAAGCTCTAGGCGATGGACAGCAGGAGTTGCAGCGTGTCAGACATGTCGCTATTGGAAAAAAACGCCACTGCACGCCGCGTAGGGCAGTTTGTTCGCGCCCGACGTTTTGGCTTTCGCAGGGGCTCTATAGAACACCCCTTTTCGCGAGCAAGGTTTCTGGCGCTGCTCATGTACCCAGAGCTTCCAGCTACCATTCTAATAGGTCGCCAGGGGAAAGCATCATATATAGAACCAACAAACTCCAGATTACTCAGTACAGTAACCGGAAGCACCGGGGGTAGATTTCAAAGATTGCAGACTCTTTCTGTTTCGCGCCCACGTTCGGGGCTTGCAACTGAGATCTGCTTTGGTCGTGTCCACCTGCTCAGTCGCGAAGTCGAGGCTCAACGCCTCGCTCTCCTGCGCGAGAGAGGAAGGGCGTCTGGGCGGTTGGGGGGGAGGGGTCTTTGGACAGATTATGATTGCAATATTCTCAGACGGGCAAGGGTCAAAATTAAACCACCAGGGGACCGCAAGTTTTGGTCCATGATGTCCATGTTTCCACTTACCGGGGTTCCATTTGGGGTACCTATTTTTGACCCACAGCCAGACCAAGTTCCGCGACTGCTGTCCTTGATTGAATTGAAGGTTGGAAGACTGTGTGGCGCCACTGCCCTGCACAAAAGTGGTTTCTTGCTGCTGGGAGGGACACACACATGCTCGCAACAGGTTGTGAAAGAAATGGTTGGGGCTTTTTCCATCATCAAAAACGTGCAAAGGCCATCCCTTCCGTAGTTCAACTGGTTTTCCCAAGGGTCAAACTGACTTGAAGGGAACTAGCCACGGGTAAACAAAGATCTGGAAGTATCCCGCAAAGAGCAGAAGTCATTGGGCTGAAAACGCGGCCCTGCAACGAAAGCTTAAAACAAGCTTAAGAGAGCTAACTACCCACAAACCCTCTTGCGGCTTTTTTTTAGATCAACGCCTTACGGGACGCTTTTGGACGACTACTTAAGGCATGCAGTCTATGAGGGTTTCGAGCAACAGGGGATTACTTTTTGAATGGGGTCAACGGGGACCCCAAAATGGCCGGCTTCCCTTTTGTGTCCATTTAGTAATTGGGTTGGCCAAGTTGAGGAAAAAACGCAACCTAGGTTGCACCTACAAGTCCTCCCGAAGAGGAGACTCAATTGATGAGCTGCTGGCTATCTTGGCCGAACGCCAAGTCTTAGCACAAGCCTGTGGTACACAAACAATCATATGTGCTGCTTCATGTTTACTCTGCCCTGAAATGCATGTATGTGGCTGCAACAAATGTACCAACATGGCACCTTGGCAAATGGAACCAACGAAAGCCTGCAGAACCCTGGCGCTCAAAATCTGAGCCACGCCCGGCTTATGGAGACCGCCCCGGATCCTCCAGCTGCAGGTCCTCTAAGCCTGACTGACAATCCTCGTCGCTCCAGAAGTACACCTGGCAAAGGCCAGAGGTGACCCTGGACTTGGGACCTGGCCGTGGTTGTCAAAACCGTTTTGGGATCCCATTTTGGTCGGTAAATGAAAACCACCACCCATTTTAGAACCTATTTTAGTGGGGATTCGGATGTTCACTGGGGGTACGGGATTTTGACCCATGGCCACATGGGAAGCCCTTTTCGAATTCTTGCCTCGTAGACTGTCCAGGGTCGCAATTTTGTTTCGAAAGCTTGGTCTTGAAGAATCGAGCCAAGGAATACAAACACATCTACTTGCTAGAGCATGTCAACACACCGGGCTCCTGAAAGGTCCCCAGAACCTTCTGCAAGAGTTCTGATTGAAGGGTGTAGCATGTTGCGAGTGTCTGCGTGCGTGCGTACGGGCGTGGTGTATATATATATATACATATACATATTGTGTGTGTGTCCGAGTTCGTCTCTCCTGATCCAACCTGAAAAGCGAAACGGCAACCTCTAAGTCTAGAAACCGGAGAACATGAGCACACCGCCCCGGAAAGAAGCTGCCCACAAATGGGCACAGGGGTGATGGTTGCAAGCGAGGGCCTTGGGAGACCCCCTTCCTTTCCTGACTCCACAAGAGCAAACACATCATGCATATGAAAGGCGCTGCACCCACACAAAGACTTGGAAACACACGCGGTACCGCAACCTTGATTGCCTGATCCGCCTTCCAAGGAGAGAAACACGTAACTCGGGCCAGCCACGTTCGCGGGAGCAACATCTGGAAACAGCTTGATGGTGCGTAGCACGTTGTCTCGCAGGAGCTTGGACTGGTTGTCCAAGGCTTCGGCTTTCAAGAGGTTCACCTTGCATAGCCAGGCAGGTGTGTCTCAAAGGGGACCCGTTTCGGTGGCTGGATTGAAAAGGAAACAAAAGGGCACCACCTATCTACGAGGGTCTCCGATTTTTCAGAAACGCCGGGAACTTCGCGAAATCCTAGCGTTCAGTTGACTTCTGTGTTGCAGAAAATCCGCTTCTATGATCCTTGCAAAGGTGAAGAACTCAGCATTGGAGGATGGACACTAGACCTAAAAGAGTCTCCAACAAGAGATGCAGCAGAGACCAACCTGCAAGTGACTTGCAACTTGCTTCGGTTGGAATGGCTTAAAAGGGAAACTGCGCAAGGAAAGGGAACTGCGTCACTTTGTGGTTGAAGAGGAGGTTCTTCGGAATGGCCAGGTGCGATGAGTTTTTCTCCTCACAGGCACGTGGTCGACTCGTGTCCAAGGCTGCAACATACAGCATGTCATCTAAATATATATGGCGTGTGTCCCCCTTTCTTTAGAGGTCCCCCCCCAAAAAAATAATAGAGAGAGGCAAAATCAGGTAGTTTACTGGTGGCTTCTCTTTAAAACCACCAAACAAGGGGTACCCTCAGAAACGACACACCCATATATCTATATGGTATTCCTCGCAAGCTTCTTTGAACAAAACCATGTGTGAAGATATATCCCACCAAGATACCTTGTATATATACATATTTCATATAATCTCTATATGGTGGTTGTTCTAAATTCCTTTGTCTCGAAACGGCCATTCTTCGCGAATAAAAAAGTTACTTTCGCGAATCTTTCGCGGATTCATCGCCGTGCACTTTTCATTGCTCAAATCGGGAAGTCGTAGCTTTTAAGTACCGGTTTAGTACGCGAAATAAAGTCGCAACTTTTCATCACAAGGGTAGTACATGACATGCACTTCCGCGACTCCAGCTGGAAATTCGCAACTTTTCAGCACCAGTACACGAAATGCACTTCCGCAGTTCCAGCACGAAAGCCGCGCAGCCCCAGCTTGAAGTTGCAAATTTTCAGTACCAAGCGAGTACTCTGACTAGCGCGGCGCTCAGAAAGTACCTCCCCTTGCAATCGAAGCCTGCGCTTTCGCGCGGGCTTTCGCGGATCTTTCGCGGAACTTTCGCGAAACATCACTCACGTTTCTAAAGCCACCGACTAACACCCGCACACCTGGAGCACTAACCAGCGAAGCAGGGTATCAAACTGTAGCGTCACCAGGCTTTATCAGGGGACAAACAACAAAATGTTTTAATCAGCTTAGAAGGAAGATTCAGCAGAAAAGATGAGTGTTTTCACATAGTACTGATTTGCAAGATGCAGCTACGCAAAACTTTCGCGAACAAAAAAGTTACTTTCGCAACTCCATCGCGAATCTTTCGCGGAGCTACCTCAACCAACACCGATGGTCACCGAATACTAAACTCCTTACAAGGACCTTTAGATCGACTCCCATATATATATATACTACCAGTTGTTGCAAGGTATCTGGCAACTTCTCCAAAAATAGGGATAATCCCCTGATGAAGATGGAATCCAAAACCGCAGAGGTCCCAACATTCCCGAAAACCGGTCCAGGAAGACGGAAGACTAGAAGATTATCGGAAAACGACTGGAACACCCCGTAGTCTTCCCAAACCCGATGCCCGGAAACTTGAGACAGTGCTTATAAGAACTTTCAGGATTACAGATTGCTCTGGGACTCACCGTCAATCTGTTTGTTCGGGGGCTCTCAAACAAACCCACACCTTGAAAGGCCTTCTCTTTGGGGCCTTTCGAGGGGAGCTGGTTTTGGAGGCTACCCAAATGGCTTGGACACTTCCGATCGAGTGGATCGGCAGTAAAAGTCCAAACTTTTGTTTGCCACTCTGATCCTCCCAAAAAAGCGACTCAAGTCCAGGAACGCAGGCAGCGAGCATCCCACCGAAGCCGGCCCCCCCCCCCGAATTTCGGCTCCTCGGACGTGGACGGCGCTTCGGCGGCCGTGGCCGAGGCTCGTAGCGAGTCCACTGCGCCGGAGAGTCTCTTCAGCAGCAGCTCGAAACCCAGCGGGTCTCAGCCAAAAGCCACGCGGGTGCCGAGTTTGGGGCTGCGGGTTGCATGTGTTTGATATCCCAAGCCCTGAAGCCCCACATTTCGGGTTGGGTGTGTTCCCTGGATACCACCGAAAGCCAAGCAAAGCCGGATTTGGGGGTGTATTGAAACCCGCCATTTGGGTGTTGGCTGAAGGGAAACCAAAAGGAAACCGCACATTTTGGGGGACCTAGGTTGAGACAGCCGCGTGTTTTGAGAGGGGCCCCATTCGTCTCCAACCCCCAACCGATGGTTTTTTGTGCCAAGTAGCCAAGAGGTAGACAACCGGCCAAGAACAGTTTGTGGGGTTGGAAAAACCAGGCCCCCTTTTGGGAGCTACGAGCCCACTCGTTTTGGTTGGTTGTGAAGGGAAACCATATACTATTAGCTGCTCTTCTTTCTGGGTTCGTGTTGAGTTGGCACCGTTTGGTTTGAAGAGAATCAATAAATCGCAACTCCATTATTGCGGTGCGTATGGAAAAAAGGCCAGAACCAGACTCGAGTATTCCTAAAGGGCTTGGCCTGGTCTCAGCGCACCGATTCGCATCTCCGCGAGCCATTTAATACGGACAAGCCCATATTGGGGGGTGTCTCCCAATTTGGACTCGGTCTTTACTGGGTTCTGGAAGCCAGAAAGTCAAAGGCCACACATGATTAGTCCAAAGAATCGGTGACAAAACTGACATAACCTCAAGAACTGAGGAACGGTAGAGATCACCGTAGACCGTGGGTGGATATCACTTAGGTGGGGATTCATGTCCAACAACCGCTTGTGGGGTGGTTCCAACGCTTAGGATTTAACCATTTGCTTCCAACAGGTTTCGCCGGGGTTTGCGGAGTCACATGAAACGGCGGCGAGCCTCCGTACGAAACGAGGCGAAACGCCGAAAGGCGCCTTCATCTTCGAGCATCTGCGCCAGCGCATCGGCGGCCTGAGCGAAGTCCCTAGAGGTCTGAGACTTTGATGTGTCAAGTGTCTCAAAATGGGACTTGACGACACTCAAAATTGCGAGTTTCCCGTTTCCCCTCAACCCCCAAAAAGGGTGCCCTCAACAAAGATGGGGTATTCCAAACATACTTTTTCGCATTCTATACCCCAAAGCCTAAAATAACTGTAGAAGACCCCAGCCAACGAGGGGTCCTCCTTGCAGTATCTCAATCTAGGAAGTGGTCACCAATCCACAAAATGGGTATGTGGTATGTGTCAAAATCGCAGCAGCAGCAGCAGCAGCAGCAGCAGCAGCAGCAGCAGAGAACACGAACACACGAACCCAAACAGCAAAAACGAAGAACCGAATGACACGGACACCCAGCTCCGCCGCCTTGCTGTTCAAGGCGTGCCTGCGCGCCCCGGTCCCATTTCTCACTTCCCATTAGCTAAGCCTCTCAACAGCACGCGACGCGCCAAGTCCCCGATTCCCTTGAAATCAACAGCGCCAAATAAACACATCATGATATGCGTTTGAGTGTTGGTCTTAAAGGAAAACCGAGGAACCAAACACATGTCTTTGTTTGGGGGGTGTCTTTTGATAAGGTACGCTTTGTCGGGTGGTTCTGAATTAAGAACCCCAACAGTAAACTGTTTGGGGAATGAACACAAACAAACAAACGCCAATGTTCGGGATTTTTTGTTGAGCTACTCAGCTACTCCGCTTGTTGGGGATTTTCAAGCAAACCCAATAAATTACCAATACTTTTATCCCGAGTCGGTACGCTTGTTTGAGTGCTTTCAAAGCAACGCTAAAGGGGAAACCACTGCATTAGTCCAGCTTATCCCAAGCCTGCTCAATGTCACCAACAAGCAATGCTGAGTTGCTGAAGTGACCCTGTTCACTGAAAAGGGTCTACAGAACGCGCAAAAGAACACACATTGACATGGGTTTGATTGAAAATGGTGTCCCCACGCCCTCCTCCCACCCCGCCCTCCCCACAACAAGAATCAATAGCTTGCTTCTTCTTTGAATGACAACCAGAACAGAGTACCTCTAAATAAATACACCTACGTGTCCATGTTTCTACTTCGGCCTGCAAAACATGTGGCTAGAATCCAAAAAGCGCTACACTTCTGCTCACCCTACTCCGTGTTTGGAGCGGCCGTTCGCGGATTCAGCACTTCTTTGCCATTGAATCAAGAGAAACAGGGGGGCGGGGTCCCATACTCCATCCACCAATTGCTCCCCCTGCAAGTCAACACAGAACTTCAATGCAGGCACATCACCAAAGGAGTACCCTGCAAAAATACAGGGAACTAGATCACTTGAGCGGATTGGCCAAAGCGTGTCCGAATTCGCATATTGTTTTACAACCAAACTGGTTCTTACCATCAAGTCAGACTGAAAGTCCAGAGAGTTCCAGGCCACATGCGATGCACCCGGGCCTAGCTTCATTGTCTGCCTGGAGTGCTCCCAGCTTGTAGCCCCACACAGGCACCAGAAGCCACAGGAGCCGCATTGCTGGAAACGCGAGCCGAAGCGGGAGGCAGCCGGAGGTTGCGGGCTTGGAACTGGGTTCGGCTTTGGGCAGGACCTCTGCTTCTCATTTCTCATTTCGCCCTTCGCAGGGCTTGGATCTTGA